CCAGCAGGCATTGGGGGAGTCCCTGTTCCCCTGAGCACTACCAGGAGTGACTAGAAATAATGGTCACAGGCTGGCAGAGGGTAGATTTAGGCTAGACATCAGGAGGTGCTACTTCACTGTCAGGGCAGCTAGGATCTGGAACCAACTTCCAAGAGAAGTGGTGCTGGCTCCTACCTTAGGAGTCTAAGACAAGGCTAGACAAACACCTTGCTGGGGTCATTTGACCCTAGTACTTTTTCCTGCCATGGCAGGGGGTCGGACTTGATGATCAGCTCAGGTCCCTTCCGACCCTACAAACTATGAAACAATCTCTAGGTGTTGCAAGGCTTTAGTTAATGTTTGAGAAATACACAGAAACTGGATGAAAGATATGGCAGAAATGCAAAGGGTTATGAAACAAACATAAAGCATAGGCCATGTCTGGAAAAACAAAAGAAAAAAAAGTAGGCTGCTCATAGGGTGCAGCATGTGTGTATATTGGGTCGTATATATACCACAAAATATATTTTTACTTTTTTCAACATATCCCAGCTCAGCAGAGAACAGTAGCTGCCTCATGTCCTGAGCCCCTGGAAGGAGAGATACTTAAGAGGTGTGCTGCAGAAAAAGAAAGTCTGTGCAAACGATAGCTTTATTTCTGAAGAGAGCTGTTTAGCCATTTGGAGGGCAGGGACTTTTGGGGGTTCCACCTTCCTCACTTCTCACTTTCACCCGTGGGAGACCAAAAAAAGGAACTGTTCAAAAAGAAACTGTCACTTTGTGACAATACCTTCCACCTTTCCTTCCTCTTCCTCTTCACGTCCCTCCTCCCAGGCTCTGACTATGAATCACAGGCTGACAAAAACACTGGTATGAAAAAAGCAAGCTATGTCTGAGTTACAGGAACAAATGCAAATCTTCCTAACCACTATGCACTATGGGTGGGGGAGAAAACACCGCACTTACAGACTAAACTGAACCAGTGGAATTTCAGCTCAGACATGCACACAAGCTGTTGTCTGGGCAAGAACCTGAATTAAGATGTAGCTGAGATCAAAGTGTTGCAGACATGTTTCTAAACCGGAAAAGCATCCAATTCTGAAATAATCAAGTCAACAGGAAAGCATATCAGATCACAGTCGGTATTCTTCCTCTTTCCCCCAGAGCCAGCCACCGGCTACACAGAGAAGAGGCTCTCTATTTTAGACCTTTTGATCATTTTCAGAAAACTTTCTCTGCATGCACCTGGGGAAGGTTTAGCTCCTTGATGTAGCAAAACAAAATTTTTAATTTTAAGCCAAAACTAACACATTTACCTCAGATTTCTAAAATCCAGTCTGCCAAAACACACATTGCATTAGGAACATATTTACCAGGGAAACGCATCTCACTGAGGCCCTGGCCCTGCAAAGACTTACGTGCATGCTTTAGAGCCCGAGGGAATACTTTCCACTGGCCCTAATTCAGCACGGAGGCCAGTGAGAATTTTGCCAGACGAAGACCTAATGCCTTCACATTCTTATCTTTAAACCACAGGATTCTCAGAAGCCTTGCTTATAAACTGTATTACTGCAACCAGATACTGCAATTCAGTCATCTGACCCTCTAGCCAAATATTATAGATGGAGCTTGCGCAACAAAATGGACATTAAATGGACATATGATTTCCGCACTTCTACATTAAAGAAGCTAAAGATATGCAGAGTCCGGGAAGAGACGGAAAGTATAACAGGGATAGTTTTGTTTGGGATTTTCTGGTGCAGTTCAGGGGCACTGCCATGTCTCTCATGAATCTGAGAGAGATCAGCCTGGCTCAGCCTCACCAGGCTAAATCAGCTCTGAAAAATCTCAGAGCTCACTATTATTTTTAGGTGGCATCAGGTAACAAAGCAGAAAAGGTAACACATGAAAAGCCAAGCTATTCAAAATGTCCAGCCACAACAGCCAGAAGCAAGAGGCAACAAGCAGGTCAGGAATAAATGTGCCAGCAAAGAATGTGGATTGCCTACAGCTGTGCACTCAAGAGAACCCATAGTCCTGCCTTTCAGGAACACATCAAGATTTTGTGAATATTTTCATTTTGAATTATAATTAATCCCTACAAGAGGAGTTTAAGCTTGTTAAAGTGTCTGAAGCCTGTCCAAGTCCTTACCATCTATACAAGTTGCTTCCAAAACTCCAAACAGCAATAACTAGGGACTATGCTTCTTAAAGAATCAATGAAGTTACACACTTGTATGCAATGCTGGAGCTATTTTATGGAACTCAGTGGAGCAGCAGATGGAAAAATGTAATTTGGACGTGTCTCTTTGTACACTCTCTCAAAAGCCTGAATAAGGAGTTAGGCTGGAAGGGGTAGGTCAGCAGCAGAGCACAGAATCTCTCAACTTTCCACAGCTGCCAGGAAGGACTTCCTAAGAAAAAGGATGCATCTTTGCTCCCAGCCAATGGAAAGTAAAAAAGTGTGTTACCAAAGGCTGGCAATTACACAAGTTGTATAACATCTTCTATTACTTAAAATAAGCTTGTCCCAAGGATAGTGGCATGAGCACTGCCCATGAGTACGACTCTCATGCACTGCTACAAACAGATCCCCCAACGAACTCAAATGAGCTGCACCACACTGCATCTGGCCCTTAGTCTATTTTCTGTTGCTTATACTGTCACCCCCAAAACCTGTGTTCGACATGGTAAACGTCACAAGTTCACTCTTGCACATTCCTGTCTGCTACACTTCACCAAGTGGTCAGTTATCTTTCCAGCAAGGAAATTAAAATCAAAAGCAGCCTTAAGGTCCTGCATTCACATTACACATGACAGGGAATGGGAGGGGAAAAGTGAATCATAAAAATCTATTCTTAAAGGATCAGCAGCATTCCCACCATATGTTATCTGCCTGATACTAGACTGAGTGTTTCTTATGCTCCAGGCTTCCCTGCTGTAAATGCCAGTCACTGTGCACCCTGTCCTTTCCCATGCAAACTAAAAGAAGCGACTGTCCTAAAAAAGAAAAGAAAACACACAGTAGGTTCACTGTTTAACTGAGGAACATTTTGCAGAGATACAGAAACCCATCACATGATAAGCGGCATCTGGAAGTGCTTTTAAAAAAAGACAAATAATAAGAGACATAGTACTGCAGTGCTTAATTAAAAAGGTCAGTATGTGCCTCCATTTTCTTCCAGTGAAAGAAAAAAGGGGTAACACCACACAAATCCAAAACAAGTTACTTTGCTGCAGGGAAGGATTCAATACCAGTGAATCTCTTGTCTTTGGATTTAACTGGTCACACTGAGGCTACAATCAATATTTCCCATGGTAAAACCTAGACTGGAATTGCTGTTTGTTTAAAAAGTAGTCTTTGTAATTGAGGTCTTTTCCTTTGAATCCATATAAGGATTATGATTTTCTTGTTCAGTTCATTGTCATGTACAAAAAAGTACTTATTTAAAAAAATACAGAATATCAAATAAAACAAAACTTACATATCGGGGGGGGAGAATTTACCTGCAAACTATTATTAAGCAAGTCAAAATCACTGTATCTTCTCACAATCTGAAAAATACAAAGAAAACATTGAAGAAACACACTAATATTTTTATCCTTCAGTTTACTTATTACAAAACTCTGCAAGGGGGAAAACAATCCCTACTTAAAACCTTAGCTCTTCTAAGCTTCTCTATAGAAATCCACAAGTAATAAGTTTATACTGCTCTGTGAGCAAGCAAAAGAAGAGACTTGTTGTTCATGGTAATGTCTGAACTTGTATAAAAATAGCTTTCTAGCCGTAGTTTGATATTACAACAGCTTTGCTGTAGCTGTTTGCAGACACCTTGCAATTTTTGCATGTTAAGGACAACATCACTTCAAGATCATAGACTTAAAATTTAGGAATAAGTTCAACTCTTCCCTGAAGCCCTCAGACACATTTCAGATGACAGTGCCATTATTAAGGATGTTTTTATTTATTTATTATTTTTAGTACAGCAGGGTCTCACCAAGACTGCTCCAGGACTGGCAGAGAGGCAGATTTCAGTTCCCACAATTTAAATTTAAAAACAAAAAGACTGACTGTCATCCTTGCACAGATACATAATGAGAACGTACTGCACAGGTTGTTTCCCTGTGTGGTCTGCAACATTCACCATACAGGGGACCTTGTTTTCTGCTAACTCCAGCAGCTATATTGTTTTTCTAAAAGGAAGAAACTAGACAAAATGTTCCTCTTTGGCCAAAAGTACTGAAACTTGCAACTGTTAAATAAGGAGCCAAAAAGTTTATTCCAAAAAAATCTCAATTTATATTCAAAAACTGAACCAAACCATGTGGAAGAAAAACAAAACCATGATTATTTCTCTTGCTCAAGACTTAAAACAATAAAAACATGCTAGCAATAAGCATGAAGGATCAACATGAGGACTTTGGTCATGTCAGTTGACTGGAAATCAAAGAACTCATCCAGACAGCACTTACCCAAGGACAATGCCCCACCAACCCTGAAAAAAGTAGTTGGACAGACAGTGAGTGACGCTCAGCCCAAGACGCCACAAGTGAGTCCATTTAGGTCATGCAAACATAAGAAGGCAGGCCACACAAACTGTTTATTTGGAAACCCTGATTGCTGAAAGTCTTCATGCTAATAATTACAAAACACAAAGTTCACGACCAAGCACGTTCAAGAATTTAGTGTTCCTGATTTTCACTCTAATATAGCACAATGTCTAGCTTAAAGTAGACCAGGCAGGATAAACTCAAATACTGTCTTTTCCTAGGAAGACCTTCTGTTTTGGTGAATCTTAAATTAAGAGGAAGTTACCTGCCAACTGTTTTCCATGGAAATCCCTCTCTGCACACGAATAATGTATTCCTAGAAATGAGGGGAAGAAGAAGGAACAAAGTTAGCAGAAACAGGAAATAAATGTTACTACCGCTGTGCATTTAGCAATTTGAACTTCCAAACAGCATAGCACTCAGTGTAGCATTCAGCTCTGGGGTCCTGGTTCATTGATTCATCTTTGGAATAGCCACCTATGCTCCTGAACACCGAATGATGAAAAAAGAATTTCAAGAATTTATAGCTTTCTGAAGTGTTTATGCACTTTCTTTTACATAAAGACCATACTGAAAGCATGCCATGCAAGAGCCGAGGAAAGGAAACTAAGATCTTTGAGGACCATATAAATCATCTCCTAGAATCAGAGCTGAAGAGTTTTCTGTTAAATATTCCCATTTTACCACCCCTGCCAAATTACTGTGGAGAATTTAACTACATGAAGAAGGGATTATACCTAGTATGACAGGTTTGAGGAATCAGCATACATAAACTACTCCTGATGACAAGACTTTATTTTCAAATGCACAGCTAATGTTCATAGCTTACAGATAAAGCATATAATTATACCAAAAACCTTACTGAACCACATTTATGTTTTAATAATTGGTGATTTGCCTTTATTTTGCCTTCCTTAGGATTAATTATTTTCGAACTCTCCATTTCCACGTTCTTTTACACTGTGCCTGCTGAAACATGGTGCCAGGTTACTACAATAATATCATTAGATACACCTTATAAAAACATCTCACTATAAAGTATATGTATTTAAGTGACTAGTCCAGGGGTGGGCAAAATGCAGCCTGCCACCCGTTCTATCTAGCCCACGGGGCCCCTAAAACATTTAGAAAATTAATATTTATCTGCCCCTGGCTGCCTGTCTTGCGGCCCTCAATGGCTTGCCAAAACTCAGTAAGTGGCCCTCCGCCCAAAATAATAGCCCGCCCCTGAACTAGTCCCATGCAGAGCTACAAAAAAAAGTTCTGATTATGCTAATTCCTACTTCAGATATTAAAATATATATATCACAAACATGTATGTGGCACGTTAGGGAACACAGAAAGATAGATGTGTGCCTTGGAGATTTGCATGCTAAATTTTAGACAGGATATAACTAGCAGGGGAGGACGGAAAGAAAAGTTAAGCTGGGCTAGGAGTGCAAGTGTGCACATGCTATATACACTTTAGCCTGTGCACACTTCAGTGGTCCTTTCTTTTTTTAAAAAAAGCTTATTTCCTGCCAAGAGATAGCCCTAACTCCCTGAATATTCATGGTAAGAGATGTGAAGTTCAAAAGCAGCAACAAAGCAAGGATCTCCATAAGATCATGCAATACTCATCATTAGTAAGCAATGAGGATCACAAACTAACCCAGATCTTCAGCCATACAATCACAATGACTAAGCTTTCTTTTAGGTTTGGATCAATTTATATCAGTGATGCCCAACTTTTTTGGGGTGCCAGCTAGATGAGCAGTATGGGATTTAGTTTACACCAGCCCTGTATGTGCCAGATCAAGACCGTTGCTCCAGCCCCACCCTAACCTGATCCAGAGAATGAGGACACATGATCTGGCCCACGCCACTTGGAAATCCGGCAGCAGTGGCAACATTGTCACCATGGCCAATTTATGGACCTGTGGGGAGCCCCATGGGCCAGCTAACAGCTCGGAGCTCCAGATCTGGGTTTTAGGCTATAGGCTGACTACCACTGATTTAGACAGGTTGGGATTGCAACTGAGCACCCAAGTTATTGGAATGTCAGACTCTTAAAGCATTATAAAATGATGGTTAACAACCCATTACAGCTGCCAGCTGATACCTTGTGGAAACTGTTTTACACAGCCAGAAACAGTTGAAGGGTTATCTTCACAATCATTAAAAAGTTACTAAAACAACATAAAACTTAGCATCCTGCAGAATGAATCATGGGAGCCAACACGTCAGTGATTCTCAACCAGGGTACTATGGTATCTTGGGGTGCCGTGAAATCCCTTCAAGAGTGCTGCGGGGTGTCACACAACATTAACACTCTTAGGTTTTCAGACATGATTGTCAACATAAACCTGGAGATTTCAAATAGAAATTCATAGCTGTGGTCTTTCCAAGTTCTTTGCAAGAAAAAAAATGCTCGATTGTTTCTCTGTAGTTAAAAAAAAAAAAAAAAAAAAAGAAGTGAAAATGAAGAACTGGCATTTTCTGAGGGGTGCCTCAAGTCTCTCCAGGGGTGTCTCGGGTCTAAAAATGTTGAGAACCAGTGGTCTAAACTAACCCAGAGTCTGTTCACTAAAGTTGCTTCCAGAGTGTATTAGTGAACAGTCAAGAACACTGCTGCCTCTTCATTTGTCACCTGAAGCACCATTTCTGATTAATGCCTATCAAGTCTCAATATCAATTTCTAACCAGCCAGCCCCAAAAAGAGATGCTAGGCCAGTGAACAATGCATGGAAACTCAGAAGCAAAGAAATTGAAACAATGCCACTCAGGCTTATCTAGCTCTGGATTTTCTAGTCAACCTCAATTTATATCAGTCTGACTGAGGTCAGCATCTGGCCCGAGACACCCACTGGTGACAGATGTTAATTAAGCAACACTTGAAGCTCCAGCGTCACAACCGACATGTGGCTTTTCCTGTTTTCAGATTTCTAATCTGTACTTTAGGAAGCAGTAAGAGACTACTTCGTACACGCATAGGAAACAGCAACAGCTTATTCAGCAAGTCGCTAAGAAACTTGAGCAGCTTCTCTGAAAGAACGTAAAAGATGATGATTCATCACATGTGGTCATTCACTTTTTTCTACTGTTTTTAAAGACACAGAGTCATTGCCCAACCTCCACTAGCACTTGCTCTTTCCCCAGTGCTTGACCTTTACTAGTGTACTACAGGAGAACATGCAGGCAACTGGGACATACGGCTGCTGCTAGATCACTGCTACGGAAAACACAGCATCGCTCGGGTTGATAATGTTCACTTCTCTCCCAAATAAACTAGTGATGACAGTTTCCCTCAGCTCCCCCCTTCCAAGCCACTGAGCCAATCCTCATGCCAATCCAATCCAAATTCACCTTGGAAAAAACTGATTCAGTCCACAATTATCTTACTCATGAGGCATAGCAAACTTGCGACTTGCACAGCTGTGCTTTGGTCTCCCAAAACATCCTCAACAGCCTATCCCAATTCTGTCAGCTCTCCCACAACTTGAAATCTCTGGCCCGAGCTCCACTCCTCCTTGCAGGGCGATCCACGACTGCATGAAGGACAGCCTCCCTCAGGTCAGACACAAAGGTACCCATCGTGCTTCTTCTCCACCACCACAGCTAGGCAGAACTAGCTTCCCCAGGGCTGATTCTGCCTCTGCCTATACAGGGGAGGCCAGAAAAGGGGCTGGTGAGCAGCTGCCGCAGAGAAGCCCTGCGGTGAAGGATAACAGTGTTCCCAGTGCTCAGAGCCACTTCTTGCACCAAAGAGGGCTGCACCAAGGGCCAGTGCCTCCTACTGTGACAGGCCTGCGACCATTAATTGGCACTGATGACACACCATTTTCACATGAGCACAGATGGGCTTTTACCTCTCCAGGGAGAACGCCTGAATGCAAAACAGTCTTGAATTGAACTCTTTAAAAGAAGAAGAATAAAAAAATAGGAGTCCAGTCTGCATTGCCACAAAAATTTTAAACCAAGAGCCTCACACGGAACGAGACAGGCTACGTCCACAGAATTAAATGACAGGTGACCGTAGCATGAGAAGCTATACCAAGACCATCTTGAATCTAGCTAGCACAGATGACAACAGTAACGAACCTGTCACAATTTTAGTAGAATTCATGTTGAAGTAATGGGAAATTACCATACTTGCCATTTTACCCAATTTAGATGTTGGTATATTATCTTTATGCCAGTCCTCCAAGATTTACCCGATATTCCAGGGTAGTTACCAACAGGAGGAGCAGCTCAGAGCTCCTCAGTCACTTCTTCTAACACTCTCAGATGCATGTCCAGTACAACAGATTTTAAAAGGTCTAAATTTTAGCAGCTGCTGTTTAACATCCTTCCTAACTGTTGAAATAGAAACAAGACAACTCTGCAGGAGCACAACAGGAAGAAACATGGGTGGAGGTGTCAAAAGGTTGGATCCTAAAAATATCAAGAACCACCAGTTGCAATTGTGAAAGATTTCTACTGATGAATCCCAAAGTAGCTTCCGGCTTTGAAACTCCAGCTATTTCACAGGTTCTTCACTCCTTGAGTTTAAAGACCCATGACAGCTTCAGTTTACACCAAAAGCTTAGAGGCAAGAACAAAACACAAAGGCCTTTAAAACCTTCAGGTTTTTAATGCTTGAAACTGGAAACCTAATTAAGCACATACTATTAACAAAATCCCTATTTAAGTACACTGGATTGGAACAATTTCTAATAAAAAGGTTTTTTTCAGGGCCTCTTAAACATTTGTTTGGAAAATCTTCTATAATGGAAAGTAGAAAAATAACCAGGAAAGCAGCTCAGACCTGGAGATCCTTCTTTGAATAAAGGACAAAGTACAAATGTACTGTTGTACAACGTGACATGAAGCCATCTGAGCTGAGATACTGTTAGCAACAGCAACACCCAGCACTGTTTAAACACCACCACATGTCTGAGGATGCAGCGGAGTCCTCTGTAAGCTTTACCTTTATTCTAATAATGATCCCGCCATTCCATTAATAACATTTTTAAAAAGATGCCCGCAGATGAAAATTATGGGTTTATATTCACTGGACTTTATTGAAAAAGAAAACCATTTTTGGAGAGAACAGAGAAACAGATGCTTTCCTCCCACCAATAGCAGCACCTAGCTACATCTCCTGCCTTCATGAAAGCACTCTGAATTTTGGTAATGGTGACTTGTAAAGGATGAGTTTACACCAGGAGAACAGAACGCTGCAGGGTGCCGGGCACTCTGAACTCCTGTAGGTATCAGTGGAATAAGGAGACACACAGCATTTCACAGATGTCAAAGAGATGATAAAACCAGACACAGTCTCAGACTGTGGAAAGGGAAGAGTCTTGTTGTAGCTATGATGGGCCAGG